TACTTGTGTGATGGAGAGTGAGTGAGAGGGATTTGTGGGTACGTAGAAATATATATAAACTTCTTTTTATTTTATTAATCTTTCTATTGCAGTTTCTTTGTGCATTCGTGCATAAACATTTCCGATTAGTATCTTTATAATTTCTATATAAGTTTTATTGTTCTTATTTTAGAATGCATTTATTATTATAAAATCTTTTTAGTAGTAACTATTGCAACTATTTATACTTATATTCACAATTAGTCTAGTTAGTGGCCATTGGTTCTCACGCGCTGATTGGGATTATTATTAAAAATTCCAATTTTATTCCGCCCATCGTCATATGAAAATATTTTAAAATATATCATAAAGATAATTAAAATGACATTTCTACAAGTTTGGAAATAAAATCTATTTTTTTATTTTTATTTTTATATACATGCCGTGTACTTTTAGGACGTAGGCGATCATTGCTCTCTGCCTACCTCTATCCCCTTACAGCTCTCAACAAGTTCCTTCCCTCTCCTTTTCCCCCAGACCTCGTTCTGTCATCTACTTGCTTAAGTTCGCCAGGTATATCAAGCGTTGTTTTCCCTTGTCTCTCTTTCCTGCTATTCGACCCGTGAGTATCAGATTCTCCAAGTCCTTCTTCCTCATTATGTGTCCTTATTCCTTTTTATTTGCTATATCCTTTCAGGGGGTAAGCGATTATTGCTCTCCATCTCCCTCTATCCCCTTACAGCTCTCAGCAAGTTCCTTCCTTCTGCTACCTCCCCCAGACCACGTTGTGTCAACCACCTGCTTAATCCCGCTAGGTATGTCATGCGTTGTTTTCCCTTGTCTCTCTTTCCCTCTACTCGACCCATGAGTATCAGATTCTCCAAGCCCTCCTTCTTCATTATGTGTCCCAGAAACATCAGCTGACGCTTCCTGGTGTTAAGTATAAGCCTCATCCTTGTTTGCATCCTTTCTAAGACCTCATCGTTGCTCACACGCTCGGTCCGTGATATCCTAAGCATCCTTCTAAAGAACCACATCTCCGTTGCCTCGAGTTTTTTCTTCATCTTTGAGAAAATCGTACAACATTCGATGCCATAAAGAGCTCAGTATTCTTTTCTTTGCTACCAAACATTTCTTCATCAGTGCCATAAAAAAACACTCCGTTGTTCCTTCTTAAATGCTTAAGATATATTGTCCTTTCTACAGACGAATTATTCCCCACCCTCCAAACTCTCTCCCACGGGCAGGATGTGACTACCCTATCGCTATTTCATGGGAAAGTTCTCGAAGGAACTACATTACCTGGTCCCGCTAATTCAAATCTTTACGCCAAGGACACACCATGACACTTACACATTAAAAAAAACTACCTATATTTCCTCCGTATTCCAACAGTGAGAATTAAATTCCTTTCTTAGAGCTTCTTCGCACGAACCACTGCTTTATAGAATGTACTTTAAGAAGATTTTTCCCCGATCCTTAAAATCTTAACCTCTTCAAATCTCGGGTTAACCGTTATCTTCCACCCCCATTTGGGGATGAACCTCAGCTGCACCCAATTATTATTACTAATATTGATTTTCGGGTTGTCTGACTTTAAACTTAAATTGCTCCAATTGTACGGCAAAAATTACCAGTAATGAAACACTCGGTCAAAGACGGGCTATATTGCTAGTTAATATATAAATTAATAATAAAATGATTTAAATACGTTAAACCTAATTTCTCGATCGACACTGTTAACATAAAAATTAAACGTCTATACGCTTAAGGAGAATCTTATTTTGTCTCGCGAATGTAAATCTCTTTGAAATAAAAATCTTCATTTGAGGACTAAAATTCAACACAGAAACATGTTCAAATAAATGTTTCCGAAACTGCCTATGTGATATTTTTTATTTATTTATTTCACCCCAAGAAAGCCCACGAAATTGCAATCGGTTACTGCTAGTGGAAAATAATGAGAAAGATTTTTGTGGGGAGAAAGGACAATAAAGTATCAGAATTCAAGAAGGCAGAAAATGATGATTAACGTCCCATTTAAATTTCTAAAGATTGTTTGTAGCAGGGTTGTAAGAAAACGGAAGAGATTTCCACAGATGAGAAGTACGAGAAAAGAGACTCTTAGAATAGAACTTGCAGATAAATATAACCATGATGAAAATTATTTGCCAATCTACTAGTACGCTTGCATTCAAGCGGTCGATGTACCAAAGATGACAGATCATTGGAAGAAATTCAATGAATATATTTGAATAAAAGACACAGGGAAGCCATGTCATGGCGTTGTGAAAGTGACTGACGAACGAGATGACAGGTCAGGACCGATAACATTACAGACCTTTCTTAGGGTTTTGTCAAGAATCTTAAGATATATAGCCAAAGAATTAAACCAGATATGGCAATAACGCACGGATTGCATGTGACGCATTTGTCTCGATAAATAAATGCATAAATTTTTTTGTGTGTGTGGATATCTAAAGCTTTCGAGTACTGTCTGGAATGTCATGTTTGCTTTAAAGTGAATGACCCATAAATATATCATCGTTCTCGAAAAAAAAGGCTTCATAGTGATAAATCCTGACATTGAAAGTAATACACATGTCCAGCACTCTGAGAAGCCATGTTATCAGCAAGGGGCCAGTGTTATGCTGCCAGTCGGGGGACCATAATATTTCAAATCAATCACTGACAAAATCATGCTTTCACACAGCTCTTTCGAGTTAGATGAACAGTTGTGTAGACAAGTGTTCTTTAATTGGCTGGTATTAATCTTCATTAACCCACTGTGTTTCTAAATACGCTTTGATACACATCCTTCCTTTTTGACAGTGTTTGTTTTCTGTGCCCCGACTTTTTACGTCTGTCTTCATTAATCTGTAATTTTTATTATAGCTGGAGCCTTTCCTTTTAATTTTTTTTTCTTTTCGTTTTCTTTTACTTTTGTTTTGGGGTTTGGGATAGGAAGAGTTTTCCACTGTCGAAGGTAATTAAATATGGAATAAAGATGGAAATATATTTAAGACAAACAAAGATGCAGACTAAGGAAGAGACAGAAATAAATAAATCATATTTTGCGAATATTGACTGAGCCTGGAAGAGACAGAATGAAATCTGCAGAGGGGTCGGAATTCTGAAGAAATTGTTGCTCTTGGGGAAAGTTGAAATGTTGTTTTTTTTTTTTTTTTTTTTTTTTTTTCATATTAAGGAAAATGTTTGTATAGTTAAAAACATACATATCGCGTTGACAGAATCAAGCACAAAGGAAAAATTAATGAAGAGAGAAACTTACCAGATAATTATGAATGAATGATTGATTGAAAAAAGATAAAGGATGTAGCAATGAAACAAGCATTAACAAGTAAAACAGGAAACAACGAAGTGACAGGCTATCTATCTATCTATCTATCTATCTATCTATCTATCTATCTATCTCACTCTCTCTCATACATACATACATACATATATATATATATATATATATATATATATGTGTGTGTGTGTGTGTGTATATATGTGTGTGTGCATGTATGTGTGTGAAAGAGGGATAATTTCATAACGTGTGACGTTATTTGTTTACATTTGGATACGCTTTGAGCAGATATGAATGTACGTGAGAGATTCATGGAAGATTGAAGTTTAAAAGCAGAAAATCGACATTGCTAATCAAACGATCCTCTGTGGCTCGATCGGTTAAGAGCACGTCAGGCTAAATGACGGTTCCGTATAGGATACAGATTGGATTCCGGAGGACGAATATTTTCTATAAAAATTTCTCGGACATTCAGGCCGGTAAATATTATTACTGTTTATTATAAAACACAGCATTTACTTAAATAATTGTATATATATATATATATATATATATATATATATATATATATATATATAAATAATCAGATATAGATATTAGCAACTGTCAATACGTGCGGTAGCGTGCATACACAGTTAAGTGAATAAATATTTACTTAATTTAAGGTGTAAACAAAACAGTGTTCATTGAGGTTAGACAGAGCTAAGAAGTATATATATTTCATCCACAGAGAGTTCGGTGTATCACAGCTCACGTCCAATTGCTTCGAAAAGACCGATTTATCGTCAAACCTCTTAGTCTGTCTGTCTCTCTCTTATATCTATATATATTGGATCGTCATTTATTATGTCTGTTATTTTTATTTTTAAACAGTGAATTTAATACCAACTTGCGTAAATTCAATTGCTATATGAAATTAATCGATGTTAGTTGTTTTTAAATTGGGTATTAGTAAAAGTTTATTTTCCCTATTATAATATATGTCGCATGTCCTGATAAAGAGACAGTTGAAATTTATATGGCATGTAATGAGGAAAGAGGTCTTGGATTATTTGATACACACAGGTCTGATTGTAAGCAAGTGGTATAGAGGAAAATAATGCATAACTTGCCTGACGGACCTGAGTAAATTGATGACGGAACGGGGTTTAGAAGACAAAACTTATTAAGGGTCCTAAAGGACAGAGCAATCTGCAGAGCCATGACAGGGCACAAAAAAGAATGCAGTGCAAACGATTTAATGAGAATTGTTGTATAATATGGGGAGCATAGAAGTGAAGTGTGTGTAAATTTTACCTCTAAGGAGTGCTTCTCTGTATTAAAATAACCAGAGCCGATGAAAAATATGTTGTAGCGATAATTAAATAAAAAAAAAGAATTAAGACGAATATGAAAGAAGAGGGTAAAAAAGTTGTTGAAAAGAGAAAATATAATGAAAGCATTTCTCATTACAATAAAATAACTTAATTTCCTAAGTTTTGACATAAGGGTATTTATATTCATAACCACATGGTCTATTTATCAGAATAAAGAAACGGATGTTTGATTTATAAGTTTTAAACCGTAAAAAAACAAAGTTTAATACTGCCGAAAGTAAAATTGATTTAATGGAAAAGAAACGCAAACCAAATACATAATAATAATAATAATAATAATAATAATAATAATAATAATAATAATAATAATTTGTTTCAGCTTTTCATAAAACTTACGGCCACATCATGTTGGATCAACGGCCCTTGTATGATAGCCGAAATTAAGCAACGTCGAGCTAAGTCAGTACTTGGATGGGTAACTGCTTGGGAATACCAGGTGCTGTAATCTTGGATGTGCGTAATGAATGTGAGTAATGTATGAAAGCTCAGAATTGTTAATCGAAGACCCGAGTACCAATTCCAGTCAGGTTCCTTGTATTCACCTACGCGCAAATATTCTTGGGGAAAATATGAATCTAACACTTCTCTTACAAGCTATGGCTTAATTATTAAGACTTGTATCATTAAACTACCCACAAGAAAAAAAAAACTTACATTCTAAGATATTTTCTGGTTATAAATACCCAGCAAAAAGTTGATAAGCCGTAAAAAAAAGAACAAATCATTTAATCTCAGAATTATTTTATTAATTTTTAGATATGTTTGATACCCGTATTTTTTTTTTTAATATGAAACGATTTAAAGCAAGACAAAAAAAAAAAAAAGAAAGGGACTATTATATTTTGAAATCCACTGACAAATGATATCACCCGCCCAAATGGAACCCAATGTTTGGCAAACATGGATCAAAACGATTAATGTGTATATTTTTAAGAAGAAGGAAACATGTTTACAATTTGTTTTCTTGCAGCACATATGGTTTTGTATGATATAACGAGTAACGTAATTTGTTTGTGATATATTTCCCGGTATATGTAGACACACACACACACACACACACACACACACACACACACACATATATATATATATATATATATATATATATATATATATATATATATATATATGCGATTTTGTCATTGTTTTTTGTATAATAGAAAGATTAAATAAATTTCTTCATGATAAACTCTTCTATACATATGTATTTTCATGTTTGTTATCGTTTTGTCCGGCATATAAGCTCGATGTTCAGTTGTTTGCGTAATATGAGATTCAATCTTGGAAATACCAGATGATCTCCATCGAATTATCTAATGCAATAAGTAATGTTTATCCTAAGAGAAATTGCTCTGCAATGACACCTATACGTGCTGAGCTTACTCCAGATGATACCAAAACAGACTTTGCACTCATTGGAGAGCGTTGGAGAAGGCATGTGCATCAGCGGGTTAAATTGAATGATGTCGCCATAGCCATCATATGTAAATTTTTGCCTCACTCTGTGGTGGCTGCCCCCGACATATATACAGGTTGTCGACTGTGCAGCGCTTACGAATGTCACACGTTGAAACTCGGTGACAGAAAGAAACATAAGCCCCTCCCCTAACAGCACTGTGGATAGAAAAAAAATATCTTTCACTTTCTTGTGAGAAGAATTCACGCGCGCAAAAAGGCAACAAATCTAAAAAAACAAAACAAAAAAAAAACAATTGTCAATATTACTTGACGAAGTCCGAAGTTGAAGAAACTATAATCCTCCGCAAGGAATCGAAACTATACTATTTCTTCTTTACAGGCCAATTTCAAGCTTTCACCAATCGAGGTACTGACTAGGCTTGACGTTGCTTAACTTCGGTAAATGCACGGGAAATGGTGTTTTAAGGTGATGTGGGCGTATACCAATTACGCATCTTGGCCATATACGAGAATTTATAATATTATATTCTCCCTACATTCGTATATTCATCTGCAGATGTCACACACACACACACACACACACACACACACACACACACACACACACACACACATATATAAACATATGTGTGTGTGTGTGTGTGTGAGAGAGAAGAGAGAACTTCATCTCAGAAATAATCGATATATTAATTAATTTAATTAAGATTTATATCCGTCTATATGTCTGAGATGAGGTATTATGTACACTATTTACATTATTCGGACTATTGTCCTCAACTTTGTCGCCATATTTAAGGTAAGGCTTCAAGAACATCAAAAAGCTCTAACACGAGGGGAAAAATCAGGTGTGGCTGACCACATATGAAGAGAAAAGTGCGATCAGGTGGAGATCATAGACAAAGCGCACCTTTGGAAAATTCGTAAACTTAAGGAATCAGCACATATGCTAGGCCACAAAAAAACACCTGAGTCGACCAAGCATAGAAATGCATACAATATGGGAACCAGTAATAAGGAGTGCCAGAGAAAAGTGATAATAACAACAAAAATTGCAATATGAGCTCTGTTAAAAATCATGCAATTATAACAGCAAAAATTGCAATATAAGCACTGGTTTAAAATGATTGCTAAAGACATTAGGTTTATAATAGCCAGAAATTCACATACAGATGTCCACAAAGACACATGTCACAGTGGATAAAGGCGTTGGTTAGATCCAGTGACAGGACCCAAAGAGTGTGAGTTCAATACCCGGTTAAGGCAGTGGAGAACTTGAGAGAGGAATCATCAGGAGATAACTGATAACTGACAAACTAGAACAGTGACCGAAATATAGTGTTCAGTTCGACATTCAAACCACCTGAAGAAGCTGGAGCGCACAAGCACCGAAACGTTATAATAAATATGGCGGCAAAGATGAGGACAATAGTCCGAATAATGTAGGATTTAAATTAATTAAATATATTTTAGATTACAATATAAACGATTGCCATATTCTATTTCTACTTTTCAGACCAATTTCAGTTTAGTATAAGAAAAATATAGTGACTTTCCAAGCATAGCTTAGATGTAGTAGTTACCCAGGGAGGATCGAACACGCTACTCCGTCATAATTTTTTTCTAGCGAGACAAGCTTGCTAAACATTACACCGCCTCGAGGTGCCCACTTCAAGAAAATATATTTTATATCACAAAGATAATTCCCTTCAATGATAAGTTTGCCTTTCAAGATGATATGACGAATAATCCAGAAATGACGATATTCGAAGAGTGTGTAGAAAACGAAACTCCTGCAAGCGTGATTTATGGTAAGCATCGAAACTGAAGTTGGGATTGATAAGACCAAACTAATTACGTATTTAGATTAATAATTGATGCTTTTGAAAACCGTGTGCAGTGTGTTACTTTATATTCGTTTAGTATATGTACATAACGTTTAGTATTTAATCGTTTTAACCAATATCCTGTGACACCTGGGCGAAACAATCACTCGTTATATAATGTCACCTGAAGATAAAATCAGTAAAATGAATGGGACAGGAAGTCAAAGAATTAGAGTTGAACGTGACATAAGAGCTAAACACAAAAAGGATTGATGAATAAATTAAAAGGAACATCTGCGCAGTTGGGATTTGAAAGAAAAAAAGTTTAACACACATGACTGCATGCTATGTTGCTAATTGCACATAAAAACTCATTTCGTTTTAACGATTTAAAAGTGTCCTTTTTCAAGTTTATATACGTTTATCCAAACTTGAATGATACAGAATAAAGGGGATATTTTAAACTGAAAAAATTGTTGATGAAAAAAAGGCTTTGTTTCATGCCACAATTATTCGAGTGACCAAGTGATTAGGAGGTTAGCGTTCCGACAATGCAACCCAGGTGTCCGTGTTCGAATCTCAGCAAGGTGAATCTGTCAAGTAAATAAATCCTAGTGATAACCACATAGGGGAGACGGTTCGTTATCACTAGGATTTGGTACAGATGAGAAGAGTTTTCACAGCCAAGTACGGTGCATGATATATGTATGTACGGTGTAATGGATAGAGGCTTGGAATATACAGTTTTTGTGGAAGCAATTCCAAATCTCTCAGCGATTATCAAAAACTGGTCATTATGGTACACTGCTGGCTACATAAAGGCATTTTTCATAGCTGGAATTCAAATTAACCAAAGGTTACGTCGTGTGTAAATGGTTATACGGGTCTAAACAGCAACAAAAATTTGCCTGCCACAGGCAATAGCTTCGATGACAATCGTCTAGGCAGAGTAGCCACATATCTACACGACTAAGAAATGTAACTTAGTCTATATAGCAACACAGCGCCTTCTACCGTATACTTTATTTCAACTTAACTCGAAAACGAAGGATTTGATGACATATGTTTATATGGACTTTTGTCCTTGTTTTGGTGAAAGTATTTTGATATATATATATATATATATATATATATATATATATATATATATATATATATAATTTCACATGTTGCTTTTAATGGATAACTGTCTTTGAATAAGATGTGTTTATATATATATATATATATATATATATATATATGTGTGTGTGTGTTTGTGTGAGAGAGAACATGTGTATGTGTGTGTGTCACACGAATTCAATTATCTTAAGTTTCATTTTCATTTAAGATTTGTTGTTTTTATTTTGAGTTACAAAGATGTTGACTTTGTATAAGGCGTGAGTTCCACTCGTTGTAGAGGCTTACAGTGTAAGCGGCATTATTTATGTGGATATACTTGGAATATAACAGTTAACTCTTGGCTTGAACAGGTTAAGTAGTTTGTAATGATCAACGAAACATCTTCTTGGGAGTCGGTTCTACAAAGCAGCCTTTCGTTAGAAGCTGCTCGAGTGTAGCCTACATCTCTCCAGTGGAATACGAAAGGACTGGGTGTGGTTTGTTGCAATACCGGTAGCAGGAATAATCATAGCCGGGAATGTTAAATTTGGTGGAACTAAAGAATTTTGTTCATCTGAACTGTTTATAGACATCATTAAAAGACCATGAACGTCGTCTTTCCAGGTAACGATATCAATATAGTTTAACCTAATATTGAAAAGAAAACTCATGTGTTCTTATCGAATGCACTAAAGCCTGTACCAAAATATAAAATATAGCTACAGGACCTATTTTTTTAAAACTGAATTTGACTTATTAACTCAATGAAATGTCTTACCAGATATGATTATTTACCAACTGCCCCACCCAGCAAGATGTGACACAAGGCCGAGTTTAAAGTGGGGTATCCGAGCCCGTAGGATCGGGCAAAAATTTCCTATAGACCACGTAAAAACGGAGTCAATTTCCCGAGACAAGACTCTGCCTTTCGACAGAGCCTCGTCTGGGGGATACTCTCTGACCTAAGCCAAATATGTATTCTTTTTATTTCATTGAATTTCTCAAAAAAGAAAGAAAGAAAGAAAGAAAAAAAGAAATAAATAAATAAAGAAAGAAAGACAGACAGACAGACGCTTTCAGATGAAATGTTTTTGTTAGTCTATTCGTAAAAGCAGGAGGCACAGTGAAGTAGTGGATAGCGTCTTGGATTGAGGAATCGGAGAGCCGAGATCGAATTCAAGTTGAATCCGTTACATTCAGATACGTGTTAATACACTTGGGAAAGTTATAATTCTTCTCCTTCCAGCTATGGGTAATTATCAGGACAGACTGGGTTCTATAGCCTTGGATGGCAACTGGTCTAGGAGAAGGACAAAAACCTGAAGAGGTTCGTTTGGGGAACTTGTGGTAAATAGTGCACCAAGTCTCTGTATTCGGCCCTTCAAAAAGTATAGTTGGTTTTGCACGAAGCCTCTACCACTATAAACAAATATGTATACGTGCAGGTGTCTGGCTTTCGGTTCCTAGGAACTGAGCAGCTTGACCCTCTAACGTCGAATACGACGAGGGAGTCCATTCGTAAAAGCACAAGTCCTGTTTGGTCCTTAATTCTCATTTTTGACTGAATTCATTTGCTTTTGTTTACTTTTCATCGAATGTATGACCATTTTTTTTAAGCGTTAATAAAATCGTCGTAAATTTTATACTGATTTGATAAGAAAATTTATTTTCTAGTTTCGATGACATATTTGCTAGATTTTTCAAGATTTTTTTCACGTCGGGTTGTCTTATCTGTTTTATTTTGCGGGTTTATTTGTTTCTATGACTTGTTTTTCTTTCATATTACTGAGCGCGAAAGTCCCTGTCATTCGTCAAATATATTTCTCCTTTTTTGTCGTCTTTTCCGAAGCCTTAGTTCCAACATTAATCAATAATGATGCTTAGAATGCAGAGAAATAAGCAAAAACTAAAGATCATTTTTTAAAAAGTGAACGAACTAAATAGAGAAAGGGGGAGATAAACATTAAAAAAACGCATTGAAATGAAATAATATAAACGAAAGCCTTCTTTTCATGTTTTTCTTGCTGGCATTGCTTGCTGTTTTACAAAATTATTTATTTGATTTATGTTTTTTTTTAAAACTTTTGCCTTTGCTTTCCTTCAATATTTTAGTTTGTTTTTATTTTCTGTTTGCATTGTTTTTAGTTTCTGCACAACATGAAAAGAGGTTCTATTTTTTTCTTCTGCTAATGGGCTTCCATAGAAGTAATTCGTTCTCTAATGCGAGGCTTTAGGTCGCCTCGAAACGCCATTCAGATTTCATTTCCGTCTATCGATCTATCTATCTATCTATCTATCTTTGTGTGCACACATATTTAGCAATGTGCATTCAGATATTTGGTGTATTTCTAAGTCTTTTTAGCAGTTTACTGCTATTCATGAAGAAAATTATGTGACATTATTTGTGGAACTGCTTGGTACAAACTGACTGGACTGTATAAACAATCGAACAATTTATATATATATATATATATATATATATATATATATATATATATATTGTGAATAAACTGACCAAAGTTTATGATTAGTTCTCCTTTCGACCATCTCGGTCATTATGAGTAGATGACTTCTGATAAATTTTTTTTAAATAAATTTACCCCAAGCAAGGCGATAATGCACCTAAATGAGAAAACTTTGAATGATCCGGAAACCCGCCCATAGAGAAAAAAGAAGGGACAAAACTCTATTTCTGTTAAAAAGAAGATTGGGGAGGGACGTGAACCGAGTGATAGACAAACCTATCTTCTTGTAGACAAGATATTTTGCTGTCTAGCTCAGTGTAACACTTTATACTTGACGTCATCCTGGATTAATTCGAATTACCATCAAAAGACAAGAGGTTTCCTACAAACACACACACAAACATGCATATATATGCGTATGTGTTATGTGTGTGTTTGCATTTGTTGATACTGGCATATGCAATTCAATTCATACACAATATATTTATATATATATATATATATATATATATATATATATATATATTAAGGCATTAAAAACTAGAAATGTTGTATTGCAGGCCATGATAAGTTTAAAATAAAACACACACCAGTCGACCGGTTTCGTCCCCTCTCGTCAGAACTGTTAACGGGGAATTTAGATTATGAGGAAAAACGAAAAAAGTCTGTCATGGGTGACATGAATGAATGGACAGGGAAGGAAGGAAAGATAAAATTATACCAACCAAGCTGCTAGAAGCGCAGAACAGCAAGTCCAAGCAAACAATCTCCTTGTTTGCAAAGAGAAGGCCGCTTGGACCTGATGTAAAGCGATTCCAACACCTTGAGATGGAAAAGTGAGTGCGAACTGGCCAAGACGGAAAACCAGTTCACACTGAAATCCATCGCACAAGTTGGATTCTTTATAAAATGATCCGCAATCGAAGACCCATAAGTGTTACGAATGGTATCGCCCAAAGAAAATTTTTTGTTTAGTATTATCGCAGGTACGTGTTGTTTAATTTCACGTCCAACCGCTGTGTCGTTCTACCTATGTAGTCGCATCCACAACTACATTTGAAATAGTAAATAACAGAGTTAATATGGTGGGGGGTAGAACATCTTTACACATAGATGGAAGTACAGACCTAGTTTGAAAAACAACACGAACGTTCGCTGCAAAATAACACCACGTGAACTACATGAAATACGCTTGGCGAAGGATTCACTAATCCTACCCAACCACGGTAAACGAAGATAGACCGGACATTTACCAACTGAAGCAGGTTTGATTTTGTTGAACCTAGCGGTCTCATCTCGAATAACCGATTGAACAATGTTCAACGGATAACCATTGTTCACAAAGATCTCAGTTAAACAACTGATTTCATGTTTCAAGGTGTCATCCGAACAGATCATTAACGCCCCTATGTGTCAGGGTCCTAATCAAATTAATCTTTTGTTGTTTAGGACAAAAGGAGTCCCAACAGGTATATAGTCCTGTAAAAGTAGACTTCCTGTACACAGAGGTAATAAACAAGGAAGGAGTTCTTTGAACAAGAACATCTAAAAAGGGCAATGAACCATTGACCTCCTTATCTACTGTAAATTTAAGGGCAGGATGAACACCATTGAGTAGGGAAAAAAATTGATCCACTTCCGATTCATGGCTGAACACACAAAAAGTGTCATCAACATACCGAAAGTAAACCTTGGGTCGGGCAGAACTTAACAAAAGGCTTTCTTCATAAAAACCCACAAAAATATTTGCCAAAACAGGACCCAAAGGGGAAACCCATCGCTACACCATCGATCTGACGATACATGATATTGTCGAAACTGAAATCGACAAACATAGTGGCAAATTTCATGAGTTCAACGAACACTTCTTCAGGTATATTCGGAGGAGTCAAATCACTGCGATATAACATATCGCTGCAAATATCAATAGTCTCCGATAAAGGAACACAAGTGAAGAGGCTACAGATGTCAAAGGAACACATAAATCCATCAGTGGCATCACAATTCGAATGAATTTGGAAAAAGAAATGAATCTTTAATACAAAAGGAACTGTAATGCTGCAACACTGGTTGCAACATTATAGCAAGCCACTTTTGCGACTTTATGCTGTGAAGACCCAATCATCGATAATATGGGTCTCAACGGGACACCCTCCTTATGAATCTTAGGTAATCCATATAGACGGGGACGAATAGAACCAGACGGTCTCAATTCCTCCGCCATTTTAGAGGAAAGAACACCACTTTTTACCCATTTGACAAGACGTTTCTGAAATCGAATTTCAGAAGTCAATGTAGAATCATGAGTGTCAATGGAACCAAGACGTTGAAACTTGGAAAGGTCATTCAATATAGTTAACATTTTGTTAATGTAGTCATGGCGGTCCATGAGGACAACACCAGATCCCTTTATCCGGTTTAGTAATAACCAAAGAATGGTTATCCTTAGGGATCTAATAACCTTATGGTGTTCACTTCTCCATTTCGATTCAGAGAAAGAAATGGGAGAACTAGCATAAGAATGAGCCAAATCATTCAATTTAGCTCGAAAGTCGCTGGATTTATTATCAGACACCGGTTGAAGTTTCGAGAGTTGAGCATACAATACTTCAAATTCAGAAAAAATATTCTCCCTACTAATAGAAGTGAAAGGAATGCTAAAATCTAGGCCGTGGGCCTAGCAGCTTGGTTGGTATAATTTTATCTTTCCTTCCTTCCCTGTCCATTCATTCATGTCACCCATGACAGACTTTTTTCGTTTTTCCTCATAATCTAAATTCCCCGTTAACAGTTCTGACGAGAGGGACGAAACCGGTCGACTGGTGTGTTTTATTTGAAAATTATCATGGCCTGCAATACAACATTTCTAGTTTTTAATGCCTTAATACGCTTTTGTACCGTTTCTAACCTATTTAAATATATATATATATATATATATATATGAATGTGTGTGTGAGAAAGGGAGAGAGATAATGTGAATAGCTTTGAATCGTTTTCATTATTGTCTTTCTCAGTTTCCGCTAGACCTTTTTGTCGGATATGAAATCGCGTGCTTTCTTAATAGCCTTTAAACTTGCGTTCATAAATGACTCGGTTGTACACAAAAAAAAGAAGCCATGTATTTTCTATTATCTTTGTCATATGTGAGAAGAGACAAGTTGCTTACACGCAGGAGGGCAGTAGAAAAAATGTATTTAGCACACGTGAAAAGGGGAAAAAAGGCTACCAAAAAGAAAGTAAATAAAGGGGGAACGAAAATCGATGCATTATCTCTCCCTTTCTAAGCGCCACGGAAGGATTTTTGCAGTTAAATTTTCTGCGTCTCTACAAAATGAACGAAGATGGCTCCAATGACTCTTGTTTCTTTTCTGACGATGTACTACTTTTTTTTACCTTAATGGCTATTTTTTACACCTAAAATTAATAACATGACTAATATATATATATATATATATATATATATATATATATATATATATATTTTGCTATATACGTTTTAAAGGTGCTTTTTCATATTCTCTTGCAGT